AAGCTGGCTCCATGTTTCCCATCAGCACTGTCACAGAAGAAATCTTCCTCGGACCAGAAGTTCCGGTAACAGAGCATGTGGGTGAGCACAAGTACTTGCCCAAATACTCTGTATTGGTGCATCCCTAATTAAAACTGTATTTGACTGTGCTAAATAGCGCTTCTCATTGGTCAGGGGTCTGGTGTTTGAGCAGATAATTTTATATTACCTGGGAAAGTGACCTTACCCTATAATGCAGATTGTGCATGTAAGAGTTCTGCTGCCCGACTACCACACAATATGACACAGTTGCATGGCAGCAGCACTCAACACGCATACACAATGTCCTACATGTGTTTATTTGCATGCAGGGGCAGCTTTTTTTTTAAAATTTTACTTACAGAACTTACCCTCCAACACAGATGTTCTGTGCAGTTCCTCACAGCTGGCGGTCTGGTCTGAGCAATCACAGGATCAGACAAAGAACATCCATGCCTCTGCTCTACAGTGAGCTCCTTTTCCCGTGGTCTCAGGTCCAGCAAAACCACGGGAGATAAGGGCACTACAATAATGGTTGAAGAGTTGCACCAGTTTAAAAAAAAAAACAGTACACAAAAGTATCTCCAAATTGTCAATAGGTCCTTTGAAACAAAAGGATCATAAATAGGAATAGTCTTACGGCATTGACAAGTGTAGGATCAACTTCACAAGGAAGCCATTTATGAAAACCATCTAGTAGGATACTTAAACATCTAGGAACCAGAAATGGCTTACCCCAAATTTCCCAATCCTTATAGTTAAATAACAAAACACCTATCAATAGGATGAAGATAACATGCTCAGGTATGTGAACCTAGAACTCACAGGCAGAATCTAATTTTAAAGAGGAATGCAGTCTTAAGAAGGCAACCATTTCTTTCTAATACTAAGAAAAAAAAAAAAAGTCACAGCCCAGCTACTGCATCAATAATATAGCATAGTGTCTGACAAGGAGATAAAAGTATGTTATTGTATTCTTGAGTTGAATCTAGTTGTATGTCAAGGAAGAAATCTGGGGTGCCTGGGGCACACACTAAGTGTCACCAACGTCTGGGCACGGTGTAACTTTCATGAGCCAATGCCACTCCTTAGAGTGAAAAACTAAAATCAGTATTCAGGTAAAAAGGGGGCAATAAACAGCAAGTCTTTTCCAAGTAACTGATCAGAGAAGATCTCCCCCATGTGGCAAACTTGTGAAGTACACAAGTATAACAAGCATGTCACTGTAGCAAAACCTTAGAGGCCTTGTAATGTACAGGATGCATGAGACTGGAAGAAGCAGAATCAAGGATACCAAAAAAGTTTTCTGAATAAAAAAAACCCAGTAGGAAGAAAAGGAAAAATAAAAGTGCCCTGCCAAGGACAGCGTTTTCTGGCAATTCTGTCAGTCAGTCTCAAGGCCCTGACCAGTGTTCACCTACTGCAAACTGAAGAATTGAAGGAAGCAAAGCCAAAACCATTCCTTCCACCTTCACTATTGAAACACTACACCACTCTGGGAAAACCAGAATGCACTGCAGATGTGCAGTAGTTAAGCATTAATAAATGAAAATCTCAGCCTCTTAGAGAGAAGGCAGTAAAATCAGTCAAACTCTACATAAGGCATGTAGCTAAAGACTAGTCTAAGCCCTCGTTCACACCTGACCGTTTTGTAGTGCGTTCCACGCTCGACGAACGCTCCACAAGACGGTCAAAAATATAAATTGCATTGTCGTCAATGGCCTCGTTCCCACCTTGGCGTATTTCCGCCCGTCCTTAACACCCTACAAAACGGCCCACGCCTGAAAAGGTCCAGGTACTACTTTGGGCCGTTTTGTAGGGCGTTTTCCATTGGGATACAGGCAAGTAGCCTTCGGAATCGCGCAACTTTTTTACCGCAATCGCGGTAAAAAAACCACGCGACAGACACGCATATTACAATACGCCTAGGTGTGAATGGGGGTCTAAAAGGAGGAATACTCGTTAAAACATTTGGCAATACATTTTCCTCAGGACTCGATGGCCCTGTTCCAGACATAACAGGAATCCTCAGGCAATACTGGCATGACCGTTGGATGAAAACAGGACCACTACAGGAAGCACAAGGACTGAGACTAGAGAAACCAAGATGAAACTTATCCGGCATGAATCTCAGTTTTGTCAGCTAGAGACTTCCAGGATTTAATATCCGGTATGAATAAACTAGCAGCTCTTAGTTAAAAAAACTACGCAAAACTGGCAGGTGACAGGGGTTATGTCCTTAAAGTGGCAGGCCTAATTTTTGCCTCTTATTCATTTCTCTTGGAGGCGGCAGCAGCATAACCCTACATCTCAGAATGTAGCAATGGACAATAGATAAATAGACTTGGCCCTTTTTACTCCAATACAACACACCACAACATGGCCTGTGCATTGTACATGGAATATGCTGGACTCAGAGATGAACTTTAAAGTAGACCCAAGGTCAGAACAGCAACTTTTTTCCCCCCTTCAAACTTCCACCACCCATTTACCTGCAAAAACAACATTTGATACTCACCCAAAAACCACTTCAAAGTCTGCCAATCAGCAGTGCTGCATGAAGAAAATTCCTGACTGCAGCCATTTACAAAGGCCAAACCTGTAGTAGTTTTATCTGTACAATTACCATTTTGGGGTCAGTTATTTGGACATTTTAGGGTTGCAATGCAAAGTTTGAGAACATGTCTGGAGGTTTTTTTTTTTAAATCTCTACCACAAGAGCAGGGATAAAAGAAAATGACTAAAGACGTCAGAAATCACCTATATTTTATTGATCTTATTAACTTTGTTCAATTCACAATTTTATAACCTAGTAACACAATTGAAACTTTACATGTTCTGATTAACCAATGAAGGTTTAACTTTACAGGGAAATGCAAAATATACAAGGCTGCTAGACTTTTGTACAATGTGAAAATGTCAAACCCAATGCAATATATAAACCTGCCATTAGTTTGAGACCAAACTTTTCTACAGAACCTATAAAAAGGTGCATCAATGCGAGTATTGCTGCAAACTTAAATACTTGCGGGGCAAAGTTTTAGATTGAATTTTCCCTCTTGTGAACTGCAATGTCTGGGCTAGAGCATGCAGACAAACTATTGACATTGAAGGACTAGAAAACATTTGAGAGCACAAAACTTCATGTAGTCACCACTCTTATCTCCAACCATACTATCTAATCACTTCACACACAAAAAACTTCTAAGATCTATGCTGCAATCTATGACCTAGCTCATATGGAATCTATTTTAGACAATAGACACATTTTAAGTTCAAACATTAGATGTATACTACAAGCATGGCAATATTCTATATACTAGAAGCAAGGGATGTTTGTGTGTTGTGTGAAATGGGTTGCATTTATTGCTCAAATCTTAACTATGCACCACTCCAGGTCCTTTTAGGGCTCATTCACACCAGCAGCATCATTCTACCAGAGCCAGGGGTGTGTACAGTAGCAATGCACTGCACATGACACCTCACATGGCTTACTTTATCAACATGTCACAAAATGACATGTCATTCATGTTTATCCACTGCAGCATGTTGACAAGTGTAGTGTTGCAACGCACCAAGGTGAAGTGTACTGTAGGTCTAAAATTCCATTGCAGCACAGTGGTACGACATGAATAGGAGGTAAGGCAATTTGCCTTGCCTATGTGATGGGCAACACTGCCCTGCAGATATGGTGTGAACGGTCCCTTAAAGTAAAAAAATACCACAATGCCATTTTAGTGCTATGTACATTTGAGCCTGCACAGAGCAATATACAAGTTACTGATGCATAATGCAATGATAGTCATGCACAGGCATTAAAAATGCCATCAAGACTTGTGCATGTGTGGAATGACAATCCCCAAAAAAAAAATAAGTTACTTCCTGTCAGGGGCACAAAGGCAGAACAAATTCAGCTTTACCACATAATGAAAGTATGTCTGTAAAACTTAATTGCAGGTTCACAAATTGTTTCTTTACAGCAGTACTCAAGGCAATTATGAAGGGTAGCAAACATACTTTTATTGCAGACTGAAAAGTGAAATCTGACAGCATGAAAGCTGGGGAAGTTGCAACCAATGGCAGGTGCACAAGATTAAAGAGATGATCCAACTAGAAATAACCTTTATCAAAGTGTCTGAAGCAAGGTTTCACTGAGCATTCCCAATATCAGATACTCATTTTGTTGCTTGAATAAAGAATTGCCCTCAGACACATTGATATAGGCCCATAGTGTTCAATAAAAACAAGGTACGTTTTATCTGCATTACACGGATGACAGATCTGAAGGGCATTTCTGAAAGGGCAGTAACAAATTTTGACTTGTGTAGTTAAGCCAGCATGCCAGTAGAGCATTTTACTCCTATGTATTTAAAGTGTATTCTTTAAGCTTTACTTCTGCAGTACCGAGCAATAAAATTGAAAACCCTTTGTAATAGGTTTTGGGTGCTCCACAATACCAGATTTACATAATGGGATACAGAGATCCTGTAAATTACTTGCCAGCGTTGTGGCAATTTTTTCTCTTTAGGTGTATTATGCTGCAAGACAGATACGACAAGAAAAGGAGGCACAAGACAATCTTTATATACATAGTCCAAAGGAAAAAAGTAACATTTCAGGTTTGCGCAATGATTCATGATGACTACATATCCATAATGTGCACATGACAACCAGTAGCTCACAGGCTACTAGTTTAGAGTTGCAAATTCATACGGAGGAAAAAAGATTCCATAAACAAGCATGGACATTCTGAAATTGGCAATTCGGTATTAGACATGACTCCCGTTACCGGCCGTTTTAAGCCAGGCAAGATGAGCACTCAGATCCAATTTCCAGTATCCATATTTGTGCTAAAAAAAAAAGTAGATTCCCAATATTTAAAAGAAATCACACTGGAAGCACTGCAAACCAATTCCTGGGAAGGTCTTTACTCTGTTTAATATTTCAAGATAAATACAATAAAAGAAAAAGAGCAACTTAACTGCATTTTCTTTTTTATTTTTTTTTCAGTCAGATGACAAAGGCCTCGAGTGAAAATCTGTAGCATTTACAACTCTAATCCTCATTTTGTGCCATGTATGCCTGCTGTGTAGAATCACCCAACATACCATGTGCCTGTGGGCAGACTTTGACACCATTTTGATAATGTTACAATATGCAAGCCAACATGTTGGCAGGAGAGCACAGAGGAATACAATTTACTTGCACATGGCCACCAGGAGTAGTTCTTTTTTCTTAGGAAGGGGCAGGAAAGTGGAGCATAAACTGGCAATTCTAAAATCACTTTGAGAGTTCACTCCTAAGTAGTGCATTCGGGAGTTCCAAACGCTCAAACATGCAAAAGAAATGTATATTTTCTTCTTCAGTTAACCTAAGCAGAATACAAAGTTGGCTTAACATTACACTAAAATTACCTTCATTCTGGATGCCTTTACCCATTACAGGCTTGATCTAAAGTATGCATCACAAGTAAACAGATGCCGACCACCACTAAAGGTCACGGATCTGTTAGTTTGGACGCAAAGTTAGGTATGTTAAAAAGGTAACTTAAGCACTGAAGTTTAAAAAAGTGCAGTGATTTTGGAAATTGCCAGTTAAACTGCATAACCAAATTTAGACTCCAGCAGTATTCGCAAAAAAAAAATAAAAAAATAATGGTTTTTGTGAAGGCCATAGCTTTGGTGACAATCAGAACCAAATTTAAGATCTGTGGTTAATCTTGACCTGAGCAGATAGCTCGAGCCTTGGGATCCCTGTTTATTTGGTCATGGCCTTGATGGCTACCGCACATTCTTCCTCCATTGCTTGCAAAACAGAAATCTGTAAAAGAAAGACACACATTTTAAAACTTTGTTACACTACTGCATATTTACCAGCGTTTCATTCCTAGTGCGCTAAATTAGTGGATTTGACTAGCAGGCCACTGCACAAAGCAGGGTGCTCCCTAATTGAACTACACCCTGGGAAACCACTGGAACAAATACTGTACAAATCAAGTTTTGTTCACCGTTCTAAGAGTTTCTACTACAGAAACTATTCTGTAAACGGCTTTTAAAATATGTAAAGTGCAATTCTATTTTTGTGCAAACGTTAATCCATTAGGATCTTCATTAGTGCTGCTAACACATGCAACAGGTATCAATGCCTGATTTACTGGAGTAAAAGAGCCAGGGGCTGCTTGAAGCAGAATAAAGCTGGGGCACTTCATTTTGCCTAAATAATTGAGACTAAGGCAGAGCTAAACTTTAGCAAAACAGTAAAATGCATAAAAAAAAAGTGGCCTTTCAACTTGTGTAACCCCCAAAAAAACTGAATGACTATTTCCGCCTCTTGTAAACTTGAGCACAGCGGTTTCCACAGAAGGAGACTGCACTAGAGACAAACAGTCCTACATGTATAGCCGATAGATATTTCCTTAGACTATTGCTGCATCTTCACTGGGCTACAGCTGTGTTGCAGTTGCTTTCCAGAAATTATACGCAATGGCTTTGCTCAACTGCAGTTGAGAATAACTAGGGCACCAGGGTGACCCGTGTACATCTCAGGGATATAGAAATACAAATCCTTAGCAGGCCCCACATCTTACAATGATAGATGTAATGGTTTTCCCAAAGTTTTAACTTGGCCTTTTACAATAGGGTGGTTAGATATTTTCTGCATATATTGTGAAGTATTTTTTCTTTTTTCGACAGTGTTTAGAAAGGGATGCAAATTCTGTTCCATCACAAGACCTGCTTTAAGACCTAGCCATGTAATCTACAACCGAGTCACCAAGAAGGGAAGGGCTTTAAGTCCAGATTTTGTGGGCTCCAATGCCATACCAAGTCTTCCATTAAAAACACACTTGTTCCTGTTCATAGCCTTGAAAATTTTAGAATGTGCACTCCTGCTCCTCTGAAGGCATAAACCTTTCCGTTGGAATGAAAGAATGTATCAGATGAAGGGGGGAGAAGAAAGACCCAACAGTGAACATTTAAGCACAGGGCAGGCAAGTGGCTTTTCAGAGCCAAATTACATTGTTCATACACACTTTTCCAGGTCAAAATAATGCTCATTTCACACTACGCCAATTTGACTAATCCGCCATAAACCCATATGTCTGGGCCAATTCATTTAAAATTTCTGCACAAAAAGCTGCATGACTTGATCTTACAGTTCAGTCCACCTGTATGACTAGAGAAAAAGTAATGCCTATGTTTGGAAACAAGTCAGCGATAGACTAATCCAAAAACTCATCTACACTGAAAAGTATTGTAATGTTTGGATGCACACCATAGAGACAGGATAGGACATGTTTCTATCAAACACCATGGGTGAGTGATCAGTGTGGGGCAAGGTTTTGGAATCCTATATACAATTGCCTTTCAGAGCATAAACTATATGCGCCTTCAAACCAAAGCCGAACGGCAATGTAAAAGAAGTCTCCAATTTTAAAGCATGGAGCACAAATTCTAGATTAAATAAACCCCAATACACTTCTCACATTTAATAGCCAATACATTTAATCCAGTATGGAAACCTCAGCTTGAATATTTTTGCCTTCATGGTTACACCCCGCCTCCTCATATCCCAACCACACACCATCAGCTCAACTTGGCATGCAAGCAGGGCGAGATACTAGTTAACCATTACCCTTATAACTTGAACATTTAAGCAATGTACTTAGACCAGCTCTTAAACTATAACTGCAATTATGCTTTGAGACGCACACAAGGAAAACCTTTCAAACATTTACCATTCCTACTATGCCTAATGTTTGCACACAGGAAGGTGTGGATGAGGAGCACATCAGCCTTAGAGTATGATAAATTTGGCAGTTAACCCTGCTGAATTTCATAAAGACGTGTGATGAAGGCCATCAAGACATTTTACTTGCAGTCAGTTTAAGCCCATGCTTACTAAAACACAAATGTTCAAAATTACAAGATGGCTGCATCAAAACATTCCGAGCTCAATATGGCATTCAAATGAAGCGTAGAGCTGGTGAAATCAGAATACCAGAGATGAGAAGTGTTTACATTATGCCGATTCTCAGACATTCCAACTATTCCAGAAGCAGATATATTCCCAAAGGAGAATAGGAAATCCCACCTTTGATAGTCGTCACCAAACACCCCCTTTACTCATGCTCCAACTAAAGTTTGGGTTTGCCCTTCATTTTCAGAATCAATGACAATGGGCATTAGGGTAAAACCAAGTGTGATCTAAGCACTTGCAGCGGTACAAACTTGAGAACCTTCCCCATCAAGTCTCCCCTCATATCCAAGAAAAACTAAGACATTGATTCACTTACCATGATCTCATCACCCGCTTCATATCTAGTCTCTATTTCCTTTCCCAGGTCTCCATCTGGCAGCTTGAGATCATCACGGACATCACCATTGTCACACAGCAGGGACAGGTATCCATCAGTAATTCCAATAAGCTATAAAACAGGTAATATAAAATTAAGTCCAGCAAACCAAGACCAACCAACATTCCAAAGGGCAATTGCTGCAGTCACATTTATAAATGTAACTGTTGTCAGCCACTTTGTCCAAAACCCTGTCACTTTCTGCACATCAATACGTAAAATGACTTCATACTATACAGCATATTACATGCATCAACCCCATAAAACAGTATACAATAGAGGCCATCTGCTGAAGTGACAATTGGTCTGCTGTTCATTATGTAAACCTGTAATAAGGTTGATCATTTGAAAAATGCAGGTTACCGTCAAAAGCAATCTGTACAACTTAGCCAATTATATAAAACATCTGAAATTAGAATTTATAACAGTTGGGAAAGGCGAACCGAGAGCAGAGCGGCTGAAATTCCAAAATCTGTCGTTTACTAGGTATTGTCAGTGTCACCAGAGTGATGCCAGAGAGAAGTATCACTCTTGTTTAGGGCTATTTAGGTAAAATGGTGAGTGAAGAAAAGCTGCCATCAGCAAGTCCAATCAGCTAACTGGTAGGTGGGAGAAAGGGCAGGATGGAGTTTCTACTTCCTGTGTAGTCCTTGACAGGAACCTGGATGGTCTGATGTAACCAGCCGCCATTTTGGTTGCCTTACAGTTAAGCAGACCATGGCAAAAATCTACGTTTGTGAAAAAGATGCAGAAAGTTGTCATTTAAGTTAGTGTGCATAGCTTATTACAATATTTCTAACACAAATGTGCAGTTGTCCTTTAAATATTTTTTATAACGGAAGAATACTGCTTGACCAAACATTTAGTGTCATGTATAACATTACATTGTAAACATCTTGGAGGACAAGACACTGTTGCAAACAAGGTCACAGGGTTAGAATTGCTTTGGAAAGTAGCAGCTAGTGCAGAAATACAAGGCTGAAATCAAATCAAACCCATTGCATTTACCTTATGGTCGACATGCATTAAATGCACCGAACCAACTTTTTAGCACTGCAGTGCATTTTATTTAACATGTTGCATTGATGTGTAGGTGTTCATAACAGGAGGCAAATGCATTTTCCTGTCTTTAACCTGTATTTCAGCATACTGGGATGCACTAAAAATGCAGTATGTTCTATAGTCACAATGCACACACCAATGCATAGAAATACAGTGGTGGCTGCAAACTCCAACGAAACCTATACCGCAACATTACTGTCTGCTAGAGATGCACAGATACCTGTACTGGCCATTTTCACAAGTACTTGTGAAAATGCTGATACTAAGCGTCAATACCACCATTTAAATTTTTAAGCAGAAGCCAGCATCACGCTCCACTGGAAGGCTGCCAGGTCCTTTCTGTGAACAGCAGTGTGTACAGTGCTGGATGAATGTCTCCCTGTGCCACAAATCTCCATGCTGCCCACAAGACTGAACAGGAACCCTGGTGAGACCGCACAGCTGTCCTGAGATCCTCTGCTAGAGACATCAAGAGAGCACCCCTGAGCAGCAGAGTATGTAGCTTCATATCCTGCATCGCTGTATAATGAATCACTGGGATTTATAATCTTCTACAGCTGATTGTTCTTTATAGTTGTATAATGCATTGCTGAGATTTGTAGTCCCTCTACAGCTTTGAGTCAGTGGCAGAACAGGGGCATGGCAATTGCAGCTGGGACTGGGCCTTGGTGCTCCAACACTATTCTAAAATCGGTAGTCTATTGATTTAAAAAAAACAAAAAACTCATGTCGAGTACAACTTTGTGACAATTTAAGCAAAGTAAACTTATTTTTTGACAGTCATGTCTTTTGAGTTACAGTTCTTCATAATATTAAGAAACTGACCTAAAATCATTATTTTGTATTGCTTTGGAAAAAATGTGATCTGCCCCTTTAAGAAAAAGTATTGGTAATTGGTATCGGCGAGTACTTAAAAAAAAGTATCGGTACTCAGACCCAAAAAAGTGGTATCGGTGCATCCCTAACAAAAAATAAAAAAAAATCAATTGGCATCAGGCTGCTTGAGGAGAAGTATCAGCAAAAAAAAAAGGTATTTGTGCATCCTTGTCTGCATGCAATCAGTGAATTAAAGGGGTTTTGGTTTAACAAAAAAAAAAAAAAAAAAGTGTAAACATGCCAGTTAAGTACATGCTTACTTCTCTCCAATACCTGATGATCCTACCAGTTAAAGGCGCATCCCTATGCAGGGTGACACTTGGTCTTACTACTTCAGCTTTCCTTCCCCTCTTTAGGTCCTTCTAACCACCCACAAACACTTTGGAAACTGTGCCACACCTTTTGTATTTTACATCCTACATATTTCTTGGAAACTTTATGGCTTTAATTTGATAGGGACTAAGATCATTTCCTACTTTAAAATTGGTAGTGAACTGTTATTTTCCAGTTTGTACAATCCTAGATATTTACCCCAAAAATATAAACACATCTTCTGATTAAACACCAGAAATTTAAAATTTTCATGCAACACTGAAATGGTATTGTTCAAAGTGAGCATTTACTTAGAGAGCTTTGGTTTACTTAATATTTCACTAATAGAAGCTAATTATAAGGTTTTATCTAGGTGGTATATGGTTCCTGCCAGACTAGCGAGAATATACCCAGAGGTTTCTCCTCATTGTTTTAGGGGATGTGCACACTCGGGCACGATATATCACATATGGTGGGAATGCCCCAAATTGAGACCTTTTTGGAACCGGCTTTATTCTCTCATATTTAGGGTTAATGGGGTGAGAGTCCCACGAGATCCCCAATATGTGTTGCTGAATTGCCCGATTCCAGGACTGTCTAAAGCTTTGGATAAATTACTTTCTTTTTGTTGTCAAGCCAAAATAACCATAGCTAGGGCTTGGAAAACGCCAACAATTCCATTCCACTTGGACAAACAAAAAACTTTGTGGATTATGGCCCATGAGAAACTTCACAGCATCCTCCAAGATACTAAAAAATGCTTTGCATTGATCTGGACCCCCTGGTTGTTATATACAGGGGTGCTGGAAACCGGGTAATTTCCATTGTACAATTTGTCTGGAATTTTTCTCTGGGGACTATGCTTAATGTTTAAGTAGATGTTGGGCTATTTGGTCGGGGATGGAGCTACTCTTTTCGGGCTCTTAAGCTGTTCTGCTTCCTTTAGTATTTATTTCCTTTTCCTCTTTGTCTGTGTTTTTTTCTTCATGCTCGCACACGTGAGCTGTTTAGTACATTGATGTTGGACAGAAAGTCTTCTATTTATATAGATATGGAGGAGATCATAACAAATGTTTGCTTTAGACACAGGTGGATCCCTATGCCAGATATTCCTCTGACTGTTTTGATTTTTGTTTCTGCTGATGGGGGATACATTGGCAAGAAGAGGTGGATAGATATGTTCTGTTTTACAGAACTATTATATATTGTGTATGGCTTCTAGTGATCACCACCTACTACTTGACTATGCTAATGTAGAAGAATCTGAAATACAAGTGTATGCTATACTGATAACGTCAGGTTGCAGAGGACAAATTAACAAGATTGCATGCGTGTCAAACACTCACGATCAAAAACACCTAAATTCAAATTGGGAACTTGGGGATAGACTTGAAGAAATAGGTTTCATAAATAAAAAGATTGAAATTAGGAGGTGCACTGAAATGGAATTCAGACAAAAATATTTAAAAAAATGAATAGGACAGGCTAAAACCAAAAGTAATTTTTCCTAACCTTTTAAACCTCCCACCTCCACACTTTACCGTTAAAGGCTTTGTGGAAATTTCAGGGGTCTAAACAGATCCAATATTTCCCTTTTGAAATAAAAAAGTTTGACAGTCCTAAAAAAATTCTGCAGCCCCTACAATGAACAGGAAGCCTCTATACTGAATGTGCCTGTCCATTCATACATCGTGGAGATCAGTTACTATCCCCACACTCATGAACAGAAGTGATGTAGAGCATTTCTTGTTCATTCACAGTTGGGAGCACAGTAAACATACTATGGCCTCAATTTACAAAACACAATGATCAGCTAATTGTTGAGTGCCTGTAACCGCTCCATCCGCAGTCCGAGGATGAAAAGGTGGTGCGCGGAGGAGATCCATCTCCTGTGACACAGCTGACAACTGACTCCCCCCCCCCCCCCCA